TACCTTAGATGCCTTTGTATATATTTTGTTGTAAACTTCAACCATCAAACTATCTACAAATCCAATTTTTTGATGGTGTGTTTCTATATTTTGATTTTTGATGCTAGGAGATATTCAAACCATATTTATTGTAACTAGTTTATTAGAAGATTAATACTATATTTGGTTATGAATCTTGAATTAAGATTTAAATGTGATCCATAAATGAAATTATTATACCCTAATAGTTTGTTCCATATTTGAATTTCAAAACTATCTTTGTGTGTATCCAATTATTTTAAGTAGTTAGATAAAAAAATCACAACAATTTAATTAATACTATATTTGGTTATGAATCTTGAATTAAGATTTAAATGTGATCCATAAATGAAATTATTATACCCTAATAGTTTGTTCCATATTTGAATTTCAAAACTATCTTTGTGTGTATCCAATTATTTTAAGTAGTTAGATAAAAAAATCACAACAATTCATAATTTTTCATTCGTTTTTGTCAAATAGTGGTTAGAAATATTAAATAAAGTGTTCAGTATAGTTACTGTGGAAATTATAATCCGAACTCAAAATTCCACAATATTACTTGTTATGATATCGTACACATACAATATGTAAAAATGCAATAAGTTTTATAATAGCTGGAGTAAACAAATATAATAATCGTGTTTACACTATTATTTTATATTTCAGTAATACAAAACTTGTGAGAAGAGTTTAATATTTATAGGGGTGCATGTCAAATTATAGAAATACCACAAAGATGAATACAAGATCAAAAATCATGTGGAATAAAGGAAGATTTATTTTTTCCAAAAAAAAAAAAAAGCAACCTAATTTGGGTGAAAAAAATCAAACAATCTCTATATTGACACAAATTTCGATGCAACAAATAAAGTTCCAAAATTTCTCCACTTAAAAATATAAATCCGTCTGCTACGAAAAATTCAAACTCTTTAATCAGAACAAAACTTTCTCTAATACAAAAATATTCATCCTCTTTCACGGCATCGAACATGGATACATGAACCCAGGGGCGGATGCAAGCACGGGCTCGATCGGATTATAGCCTGTATCTGCCCCTGAAAATGTCCACTTTATTCTTTTTTTTTATTATTATTAAGATAAATTCATGTATATTTGTATTGTAGCCCGTGTCCAAACAAGGCTAAATCCGTCACTGCATGAACCCAAATACCAAGTTTTCCAAAATTCATAAAGAATTATAAATTACAAAATAGTGTCGAAGCACACCCTATAGCATAATCAACTTCTAATGCTTTCATAGAAGACTCCTAGCTAATCTCAACACTTTCAAAAATATTAAAAACATGAACAACTAAATCAACATCCACGTACCTAATTCCTAGCAATTGAATATGATGGAACTGCAATTAATGGTGGCAAAGAAAAATTACATATATTCTCCAAACTCGATTGAGTAGCATCTTCAATATGGACCATGAACCAAATTTTAAAGGTAGGGTACCAAACTGAATATCCATCACAGTACTAAATCTGCGCTGACTTTTTTTCACAAACTTTGCCAAGCTTGCAAGATGTATAACCGGAACCTCTTCCACCCTACAATACAACATGAACACCCTTTCGAACCCTCAAGACCCCACAAATAGGCGAGAAAATAGAATTTCTTTCTTCGTCCACCCCTAGAAAACGTGTACCCTTTTGAAATAGAAATACTCAACGAGATGAGATTCTTTTCCAAGTTTGGAATATGTTGAAGATGATCAAGTGTTTTATATGTTCCATCAACTAGCTTTAATCTAATTCTATCTTGTGTTACCGTTTCATATGTTTCAAACAAATTCCAATTGAGACACATATGGAACACATAAACAGTATAACAAACCCACTCCTTGTCAGTCGTGAGGTTTGAATTCTATTTCAAAAATCGTCAAAAAACCACTTAAATAGTTCTTGACTATGTTGGTCACGTCTGAAATATTTGATTGTTTCCCATGATCTGCAGTCAGATTGCCTTTATTCTACAATTTGTCAAAATCCCTCATAATATGTCCTTTCTTCTTGCAATAATAACAAAATTAGTTATTGAAATTTGACCTCAAATTATCCGATCTTCGATCACCATGAATAACAAGGTCTTCTCCATTTTGGGCCTAAGATCCAACCCTATGCTTCTTCTCCTCTTTTGAAAACAAGACATCATACTCATCCCTGTGGTGAGAGTAACATGACTATACAAGATCGTGTCTTTAAATAAACTAAATGAAGCAGGGTGGCAAACACAAAAGGATTAAAATCAAATCTTCATCATCATATTTTACTTTTAAAGTCTCCAAATCAACAATGATCTCCTTGAATATAGCTAGATGATCTTTTAAAGATCTATCTTCTACCATGCGATGAGATTATAACCCTTGCTTCGGATTCAATATGCTTGTCAAACTTTTAGTTATGTAAAATTGCACAATGCAACTGTTGTTTTCTCCTTCAAAACGTGCTGAAAAATATTGTTAAAGAGATGAAGATGAATTTGTGAAAGTGCGTTCTGATCCTTCTGTTGTTACTTTTCTATCGTCCAAGTTTTGGGCATTTTGTCAAATACCAACAATGCATTATCCAAACTTATCTGCGAGAGTACAGCTCGCATCTTTACTAACCACAAGAGAATCTTGTATTACGATCCAATAACAAAAATTTCATACTTCATGACCGCCATCAACAAAAACCCCGAATAAATTACAACCAATATGATGCGAACCCGATCAGTAAGGTTGCAGTCGAACCCACAGGATATTGAATCAGATTTCAAGAACGCCAATATGACCAAGGTTTATGGATCTAATCCCAAAATAGTGAACCAAGCAACCCAACAAGAACGTTGCTGTGAAGGACCTCTTGATCACACGATTGAAGAAATCACACCTGGATTGTGGATTTGAACCAATAAAAGATGAACAAAAAAATCCAACGGTAACAATGACGCGAAAGACCCTTTGATTACACAATTCAATGATTCAAGCCGATGGTTTGAACGCCACAAGATGATTAGTCTTGATAAGTTCGGATTTGTCCATTCAAGAACAAAGATAAATGAAGCAAAGCTTCAAGATAGAATTCTCTAATTTCATAATAAAAGTCTTGTCTTACAATTATGAAAGAAAATCCTATTTATACTAGAAACATAGAAAAATAATTAAAGATAAAAATAAACTTCTAAAATATGGAAAAAACCGTGTGCTAAAGTCCTAATAATATTAGAGTTTCCAAAAATAAGAAATTCAACCAATTAAAGCACTTCGCGAGAAAAGAAAAGATTTCGCCTCCGTTTAGTGCTATGCGATCGCATGGCACAATTTAGTGCGGTCGCATGGTTGTTCGGATTGCTGCCGAAAAATTCCATGTTTGCTCCTATGCAACCGCAAGGGTTGGAAGTTGTGCGGTCGCACAACCTTTGATTTTGATTCCGTCTTCGGCTGCAATTATCAAGCTAATCCTAATTGAATTAGGCTTCGGCCCTTTCATCAAATTTACTCCTTGACACGTGAACTTCATGGTTTTAGACTTCGTTGCTCAAATACACAAGTGACCAATTTTATTAGCTACTTCGAAGTCTCGTCTTGGCTTGGTTCTTGACTTTGACCTTCTCCAATCAATTAATGAATTCTTGGAAATTGATGGTGCCCCCGGGATCATATCACAATAGCTCTAATACCACTTGTTAAAAAATAAAATGGATCGAGATAATATATAACACGATATGAAGTGTATGATCACAAACAAACAACAAGATAAAAGGTAAAGAATTAATTGGCAGAGAAATGGAATATTTTATTCAATTAACTAAAATGGAGAAAACAAATACATTAACCGTGCCTATAGAGAAAATAAATACATTAACCGTGCCTATAGAATTATTTTGTATTTCAATAATATAAAACTTGTGAAGATAGTCTATTATTATTAGGGGTACATGCCAAACTTTAGAAATACCATGAATATAGAAACAAGATTAAAAATCACTAGAATTAAAGGAGAAAATAATTTTTAACCAAAAAAAAAAAAAACTAATTTGGGATAAAAGACTCAACATAAAGATGTTTTGAACTGCTAAGCCTGTGAAGATACACCATTTGACTCGGAAAAATTTCCAAATTATTCTAGGTGCTTCATGCCATTTTTCGGCTTTGTTTATTTTTAGAATTTTCTCTGTCACCGACTCGTAGAGAAGGTACTAGAATACTTCAATTAGTATTGCTTCAATCACCATGGAATTATCTAGAATTCGGCTGAACTTTCCTCCACCGGCAACAGCCCGGTATAATTACGGGTTTGGAGGTTGTGATAAAGTGCTTGAGTTGAGCGATAGATAGGGAAAGAGAGCTGCGGGTGAGTGAAAGTGCATTGAAGTCTTTTCCAACCAAGAGAAAATTTTGAAATATTGGAGCGAGAGATTAGTGTCCAAATTTTAATTAAGAATTAATTAGTAAAATTATTTTCTTTGATGTTTAAACTCAACAAACTGGTACATTTTTGTCTCGATCTAAGCTCAGACCAGTTTATGATGGAATATGTTGTTGGACGAACAACATAAAGGTATAAATATTGAGTTTGGGTGTCCAGGTAAGTCGATACAATTGTGTTATGTGTACAATCGGAGTTGACAATCCTGATTGACAATTAAATACATGGGAAAGGGGTCCACGTTGGATAAAAAAGTCATGAGTCTCCTCTTCTGTGAGTACATTATCAATCGGAATTGTCAACCCCAGTTGTACAAGAAGAATAATTCAAGTCGATAAGCATTTGTATATTAATTTGCATTCCATAAGAACCCACGTCTTCTTTATGGCCTTTGTTGCTTTTCTTGGGCACCCATTTTAGAGAAAAGCTTAAAGCCACAACTCCCCAAGTTTAAAACAAACTGACCAAACCAGTTCTCATCCGCTAGACGACAAAATCCACCGATTCAGTCCCCTCTTTAGGACATCTTCGGATTCTCCTCATAAGATAAGTTTTAAGGGGCATATTTTCACTCGTCTTTTCTCTCTCTGCCAAAAATTCCCAACATGAATTTTTCATAATTAAAAAGAAAAAAGAGAGAGGAGCTTTTATAAATTGTCACTTTTGTGTATATAAATCTATTAACTCTCCTCGCAGCATTTTGAATTGCAGTTTCTTAAATCTTCACCATTCAAAATGCCTTCAACTTCAATGGGAGATAGCAGCATTGATGCGGGCCCATTCGAGGCCTTCTTTGATGGCTGGATTGTTCGTCATGAAAATTTTGTTGATGAGCTACTCAGAGCACAACAAAGTTACGATGAGTCATGGGAGGATGCAATCAGGGGCCTTATTTCTCGAGTTCTGGCTCATCTTCAAGAGTATTATCAAGAAAAGTCAAGAATGATTCAAAGGGATGTATTTCTAGTGTTTTCACCACCTTGGTTTACTGCATTGGAAAGAACGTTTTTTTGGATTGCAGGATTCAGACCCCAATTGGCATTTTCTCTGGTGATGAGATCTGTGAATGATTTTACTGAGGATCAATCCCAGAGAATTCAAAGGTTGAGGCATGATGTAGAAATGGAAGCAGAGATGCTGGCTGAGGAGTTGGCAAGAGTTCAAGAGAGTGTGGCAGCCCCACCAGTGGCTGAGCTGGGGAAGCAGGTAGGAAGAAGGGTGGTAAACGGTGGCGAAATAAGGCATTTGGATGCAATGCCGCCTGAGCAATTGAGGTCAAAAATGGAGAATTTGCTAATTGATGCGGATTCGTTGAGGAGAAGAATAGTTCAGGAGGTGGTGAATATACTGAGTCCCGCACAAAATATGAGGTTCTTGGGTGATGCAATTCAGCTCCACCTTAGGATTCGGGAGCTGGGACGGCAGAGAGAGGCGGAGGCAGAGCTGCTTCACCAACAACAGATAAATGGGTGGTAGACAATTTCTGTCTAGCGAGTTACGTACAAATAAAGAATGGTCGTGTTAATATTTATAGTAGTCTCTATATTATGAAATAATCTGATATCCACTCGTTTGTATATACATCAAACTTGAGGGACAGATCAATTTGCTACATATTTTGTGTATTAATGTGTGCATGTGTATATGCTTTTCAGAGATGAAATATCACGCATATTTACTACTTGTATAATTGGGTAATTTGGTTTAAAGCTGATTGATGACGACTCAGTGTATTACAGAAATGAAATGGCTGGGGAGGGGAGAGATGTTCCTTTATTTTCAGGATACTTTCGAAAATTGATGATGAATTTCGTTGCCTGTTGCAATAAACGAATTTTATGTAATAATTTTGCAAACCTAGGATTTTCGAGAAGTATCAAGTTTTGGGTCCAAAGTGCCAAGATAAAATGAAAAATAAAAGAAAAGAAAAGGCAAATGAATCCAAGTTCCAAGCGATTCAGATTGCATTAAATAGTAATGATTATTTTTGAAAGCAAGGGATAAGTGACAAATGATTCACAAGACGACAAGGCAAGAAAAACACTGGGAAGCTGGCAGTTTCTCAAAACCATGTATGCCTCACTCTGTTACGTATAAAACGTGACTAGGTTGGCCATCATCAGTTTCTCAAGATGAGTAACAACTGTGGTTTAGAAAGGTTGAACATCAACTTTGAGGGCTTTCACCGTCCCGTTCTTAGAGTAACGATTGTGGTTTGATTACTCCATGGTTTGCCTATGCAAGCGAAAGACGAGACTAAATGAGTCGATTTTGGGGATAGAATCCCAATGGTAGCACAGACCACGGCTTTCGAGAATGCCCAACGGTGGTGGACATTCATAATTTCAAGACAGACAATTGCGGAGACATTCAAGCCAAGTGTCAATTGATTGTGACTTGATGGACGGTTTGCTTAGTAGGCAGTTGGATTTGTCGAGGTGGTCGAGCAAAACACAACGTAATACCAAAATACAGTCCTAGGTTATACACAAAAATCAAGATTTCAGGTACAAAAATTGTAAAATAAATGCTCACAAATATTTGTATCCAGAAAGTTGACTAAACCCATGTTCGGTAAAATTTAATAAATTTTGATAAAATTTCATGTAACATATTATTAGAAAGTTGTAGATCTCATAAATATATGGTTATTTTGATTTAAATTAAAATTAAAATTTTAATTCCTACCAAACATGACACAAAATTTCATTACCACCAAAAAAACCTTACCTCGAAGGAATCCAGGCCTGAATCGAAAACAAACTAAGCAGTGCAACTATTTAAAATTATGTTCGTAAAATGGAGGATGTCTGGTACTAGACCAGCAATGCGCGTAATATAATAGAATGAAATTACAAAAGCTATAGATTATTTCTTTCATTCCGTTTTTGTTGAATGAAGATTGATTTTGAACTTTGATTAAAATCAGTAAGTTCTGTAAATACTTTCCCTTATGCTAGAATACACCATACATTTGGCAGATTTTCGAGGGAATTTGAATCTTATGTGATCGGCATCTATCACAGGCCTCGCCTAGGCCAAAATACACCATACGTTGGACATACTTTACAGCTCAACGACGCCCTCAATCAACTTTTCACTTTGTGCAAGCCTATGAAGACCACGTGCCTAGGGTGATTGCTTCTCACCCTATGATCGTGGCCTATCACAAATAGGGAGTGATACAATTTATTATGTCAAAATTGTAATTGACAAGTTTCGTGTTTAAAATCATAGTTATTGAGTTGTAATTAAAGTGAAAAGAGTCGGGGCTTATAGTAAAGGTACTGAAGAAGTCAAAGATGAACTAAGGAGGAAAAATTGAAACAAAATCGCTCGCTAACTGCACTAAAAATGCTTGACCCAAAAAAGCAAAAGCATTGTCACTCTTGGTCGTGCCTTGGGTGCTAGAGCTATCGTGTCATCCAAACAGCAAAGCCTTCACGATTTAATGACAATGTCCAATACCATTCAATTTCAAATACTTGATTAACACCAAAGCATAGTTCGTTCCATAATGTTGGTTGATCATTATTTCATAGAAGAGAACATCCTTTGAAGGTCATAAACATATTCTATAATTATCTTGATTCGACCCCAATATCAAAACATAAAAGATCAAACACCAAAAATCATTACCTTTACTAATAAGTTTTCAGAGTTCTGAAGTTGGTAAGAGATAGCGAATTATTACAGAACTACGAAGGGAAATGAAGGGCAGAGTCTTGGAAAGTGCTGGAGGCACAATCGAAGAGGTTCTTCGCTGATTAACGGCTTGAATGGTTAGAGTTTACTAATGTTTAGTTGTGTCTGGATCAACTGGAAGTTTAACCAGAGGTGTTTTATCCTTATAAAGATTTTTTCAAAACTTAATTATATAGAAATAATAAATAAGTGGCTTGTTGCTTCTTCTTCTTTTTTTTTTTTTTTTTTTTTTTTTTTTTTTTTAATTTTTTTTTTTTTTTTTTTTTTTGTTAATTAAATTTTGCATTTTTCATCTCTAGGTGTAGTTGAATACAAACACCGTTTGACTATTTTTTTGGCATTGAAGCATAATTTTGATTTGTGGCCCAATTTTGTTTAAATGAATCAATCATTATCAGTTCCTCCTTATTTGGATGGTAGTAATTATTCCCACTGGAAGGTTAGAATGAGAGCATTTTAAAGTCAATGGATGAACATGTTCGGGTTAGTGTAGAAAAGAGTTGGACTACCCTGTTGCCGCTGTTGTTACACATCTCTATTTAGACTAAGGATGATTTAGTCTAGTGTAAATGGAATAGTAGGCGTGACCATGCTATCTTTATGACTATTTTCCTCGAGGAGTTTAAGAGTATATCTATGTGTAAGACTGTTAAGGAAGCTCGGAACATATTAGAAACCACAAATGAGGGAACAAAGACCATGAAACTCTAAGCTTCAAATGTTGACCACTAGATTTGAAGAAATTATGATGAACGATGATGGATCCTTTAATGAGTTCTATGGAAAATTGAATGATATAGTGAACTCTAGTTTCAACCTAGACAAGCGAATCTCCGAGGCTAAGATTGTGAGAAAAGTGATGAGATCTCTACCTGGAAGATTTAGACCTAATGCTGCAACTATTGAGGAAAGCAAAGACCTAAATCCTATTAAAATAGAAGATCTTGTAGGATTTCTTCAAACATATGAGCTTAGCCTACCACAGACTAAGAAAAAATAAGTTTTCAACCCTAAACACTATTAGGAAAGAGACTAATAATTATCTTAAAAGAGAGAATATGAAATTTACTGTTCATTTTTGTCATATACATTTTCACATTAAATTGGTTTGGCAACAATAAATTATTCTATTCAATCACACTGTAGTATTTTTTTTCCACATTAAACTGGTTTGGCAACAATAAATTATTCTATCCAATCACACTGTAGTATTTTTTTTAACACGTCATTTCACCATTTTCACACGCCGTTTTTACTGCAATGTCACTTCCATTGCAATATTTCTCCATTTTCACACACTACTTCACTTTATGAAAGTCAATACTATATTATATAATAAAGAAACAAAACTAAATATAAAGATTATTTAAAAAAGGAATTGTAGGCAAAAATAAAAAAAATTATAATAAAGTTTTTGAATTAAATTAAAATGATTTAAAATAAAAAATAAATATTATTTAATTCAAATTTAACAAATGTCGTTCTATCATAAAGAATGTATAAATATTAACACTCCACGCATAGAGCCATGCAAGTTTTTTTAATTATTTTTTTCTTTTTCTTTTTAATTATAGTAAATTTTTATTAATATTTAATTTTAAAAAGTTAAATATATCTAAATAATTACTTAAAAGTGTTGAAATTAATATTTTTTTACTATAAGTAGCTTTTTACAATTATATTTTTTTTATTACTTTTAAATAACTTGAAGTGATTTTTTACTTATAAGTAACTTTTTTTTATGATTGAACTTAATTTTTTCAATTATTTTTTTGCTCTTCGTGAAAGGAGAATTTTTTTTTCTATTTAAAAAATTTTCAATATTAATTTATTCTATTTAAAAAATTTTCAATTTTTTTCTATTGGTGAAGGTGGGAATTACTGCATATTTTGCACAAAACTGGACAGATCATTTTTGTCACGTGCGTTTTCACATTCAACTGGTTTGAAATCGATTTGGTCAAAATGATTTTTTTTTAATTATATTATCCCTTCTTATCTTACTATTCATTTTTGTCACATTGAATTGGTTTGGTCCTTTGAATCTGACAAATAATGCGCTTTCCTCCATTTTCTCACGCTATCAACTCTCAACCATATACTGTAATTTTATTGGTAGTAATATTTTTAAAAAAAAATTTTGTCACACCGTATTTTTTTTAATTGGTGGAGCATAAATGACATATCTTTCTATTTTACCTGTAGCTTACATATTTTGAATCTGACACACAATACTCTTTCTTCATCTTCTCATGCAATCATCTATCGACCATATCCTATATTTTTATTAGTAATAATATTTTTTAAAATAATTTTTTACATAAAAGTTATTCTTTATTTCTAAAATGTAAAAAGTTACTTATAACTAAAAAGATCACTTCAAGTTATTTAAATGTAAAACGAACTTATAATTGTAAAAGCTACTTATAAGTAAAAAAATATTAACTTAAAATTTTTTAAGCATAAATATTTAGATATATATAGTTTTATAAATTAAATATTAATAAAAGTATTACACTATCTAGAATATAAAAAGTTGCTTATAAGTAAAAAAACACTTCAAGTTATTTAAAAATAATAAAAAAAACTTATAATTGTAAAAGCTACTTATAAGTAAAAAATATGAATCCCTCATTTTCTTATAATTGCAAAAGCTACTTCACTCATCCATAAAGAGAGACAATCCCACTTTACTATTCATTTGTGAGTTTCTTCTCACAATTCACTATTCCTCTCACATAGGTTTTATATGATTTTATATTCTTGCATATAAAAGAGTAGGTATAGGAAATGAGAATTGAGTCTTCCATACACTTCCTCTTCAACCATAATTTTCAATTGCTCTCTCACCACCTCCTTCGTCGACCACCGTCAAATAGAACCAAGCTGAAGTTGACGAGAGTTGAGAACAACTTCCACGATTTGTTGAGTTTTACTTTCCCTACCCTTTTCCTTTTCCTCTTGCCATCTTGGAGATTTGAGTT